CTGGAATCAGGTTACTGTAGTCCACCGTGAAGCTCTATTGCAAGGTTGATACATGTTCTTGGAGGGACTACTACATAAATACTTGTAAAATATTTTCAAGAAGTTGTGAAATATTAAGAGAGTTTTAGGGGTCATGGTGGCCTAGCGATTAAGATGCTGAGCTTGTTGACTGAAGGTCAACAGTTTGAGACCCAAATATGGGATGAGCTCCCGTTCTTGCCCCAGCTCCTGCCAACCTAGCAGTTTAAAAACCCTAGAGTTGGTCATGACTGGACAGGAGAAACATTTACCTTTTTAAAAAAAACTAAGTTTTTATGGAATGATCAAACTCTTTGATTTTCTTGATCAAAATTATGACATTTAATTCTCTTCATTTTCAAGTATCTTGTGTGTGTATTTTGACCTTATTGCTTCCTGTAATGCTGTGTTTCTCAACCTTGACAATTTTAAGGCATGTGGACTTCAACTCCCAGAATTCCACAGCCAGCAATGCTGGCTGTGGAATTCTGGGAGTTGAAGTCCACATGCCTTAAAATTGTCAAGGTTGAGAAACACTGCTGTAATGGAAGGATTTAAAAACAAAAACATTATGAGCAGAGTTGTAATGCTATTATCTTACCCCTTTAATCTCCTGGAAGTCCTAACTTTGTTTTTAGTTACAATTCATTTGGTATCCCGGGCAGCAGGTACAGCAACAGATAAACAGTGCCTGCAGGCCTCTATATCTCATGAAAGTGGGCATCAGTGAGCAGATTCTCAATGAATTACTGAAAATATACAGCAAATAAAATAAGATGCTTTGAATTTTATTTTTTATTCACAACTAAAGAGTCGTATGAAGATTTGGCTAACTTGTGGATAATGTGGAATAAGTTGGAATATCCTCATTTAATAAGTCATTGTGGTTGGATTTTAAAAAAATACTATTCATCCAAGTATAATATAGGTTGGGTTTCCAATTATTTATGTTGGAAGTACAATATATAACTAACTATCCTTTTGACAATCCAGGCACTCTGCTGCCCACCTGGATCCCAACCTGAGTCTCTCAGTCTAGGGCTGCTGCTGAAGTTCCTCCACTTGATGTTGTTCAATCTCATGGCCTGGAAGCTGGGTCAGGGAAAGCCACGGGGTATATATATTCCATGACAACCATGGGTTTGGTCCAATAATCTCAAAACACATTAGTGGACATATGTCAGACTTTCTTTTTCCTTCAGGGCAGTTATGTTGTGATCTGAATACAGTGAGCATTGTATCTAGCCCGCTCTTGTGGTTAGATCACCTTCTAATTCAATTAAAGTTGATGTTCAAAAGGGAACCTAACTGAGCATGGGGGCAAGCGAAAGTTTTTGACATCATGAAAAAGGGGAAACCTTTACTTTTTTACTTTCTCAACTTTACTGCTCTGATGGAATGTCAACCAGCAGCATAGGAATGTAGTCGTTATTGTTAATAGCATTACCTTTTTTTTCCTATGGATTTTTTTTTAATTTCGGTTATATCTGGTTAGCTAGTTGTTGTTATTTGGTTACTGTTTTCTTTTTATATATTATGCCATTATTTTTAACTTTTTAAAAGGCATAATGTGGTTGTTTGGGCTTAATACAACACAGCTGCTATAGATATATATCATCCAGCCAACATAGTTTATTATTCATGAAGTTTCACATGAAGTAATATGGTTACTATCAACTGGATTGTTCCAGCAAATTATTAATACAACTTAAAAAAATCTTTACCGAATGATATCAAATTCTGTCTTGTTTTTGCCTTGAAAAGTTTGGTTGAAGTTGAATAAAGTTGGTTATTGAATGTATTAGGAATGGTAACACATGTGGGAGAATAAATGGAATGCTTACCAAATGCTTATTTTGTCAACCATAAAATCTCTCCAAATGAGCATTCAACAATTCTGCCGCTTTGATAAGCACCTTTGGGACACTAAAATTTTACTATAGTTGCAGCTGTTATAACCCCCATCAGCCATTCTGCCAAATAGCACTGACTGAAACAAGCAATGCTCAGCAGCAGCACCCCATATATGGATCTGTCACTGGCACAGATCCCAAATTGCTCATGGGCTCTGCAACTTCATAAAGATAGCTGCCTTTGAGCAGCAAGCCAACAGTGAACAATTTGAAAAAAAGGGCAACAACATAGAAGAAGAGGTGAAAGAGTTTGGTCCTGTTCACTAGCCAGGTATCTGACCGGTGATTCAGCAAAAGCAATTTTGGCCTGATGAGAGTAGCCATGCTCACTTATTAGTTTTCAAAACAAAGACAGAAATGATTATGGTATGGTATGGTATGGTATGTATGGTAATGTTTAGGGCCAATGGATGATTTCAGAAATAACTTCCTTTGTAAACTCCTTGGCTGTTGTCTGTAATTTAATTTACTGAATGACCTCTCTCAAAACCCAAACAAATGATCTGGACATAAATATCAAAGAGCTAATCTTTGGTAGACTCCTCAAATTGATCTAAAAATGAGGGTGTCAGCAACCTTATCTCTACTAAAGGAGGATTAGTGAGCAGCAGTGATCTCATGTGCCAAGGGTATTCATCACTACACTAAGGATAAGGCACGAATTCAGCAAATACAATGTTAAAAGGTACAGGTGTCAGGACCAGGTTATTTTTATTGGAGATAACCAATTAAGAATGCTTATCTCCAGATAAAGTAGTGATTTTCCTATACAAATGTCATGAGAGCGTTTGCTGGTTTGCTGATTCAGCCACTGGAGTATAAGCTAGATAAGGGGCAGATATACCAGAAACAGCTCAAAGCACAGTTGATGGGCATCTACTTAAGGAAGTCTACCAAAGAAAGGAATAGCCAGAAAGGTTGCTGTGAGTTCCAGATTCTGAAGCTTCACATCACAGGAGAAGCTACATTATTATATGCAAGGAATAGTTAAATGATCTGCCCAGGAAAGTGACCAGGGAATGCCCTTTTTAGTAAAGCACTATTCTTGGGCTACCCTCCTCATAGTGAGGCTTACTTAGTGCCTACTTTCACCATCAATCAGAAGTGTTTTATAATAATATGCCAGTTAATCGTTCTATTTTTTTCCCATGGAGGGCCATTGACAAATTGATTGGGAAAGAAGTTGGCAGTAATTGATATTGATACATTTATTGTTTAATCATTACAAGCCACAAAGAATGTTTTGAATGCTTCTTAAACAGAATTAATAATTTCATGAAATGTAATTCAAACGGAGCATTATCTTACCAGTTCTACTGATAAGAATTTTAAGAACTGACATCAAGTCTTCCTTAGGCCTAGTTAACCCTTTTCATCCCATAGTAGCCAGCCATGAAGCTCACAAGTATAAATGAAGAAACAGCCATCCTACACGGAAAATTCCTCATCAATCATATTTAGAACATGAACCAGTACACATCATTAGATACATCTTTAAAATGGCAAGTAGGAGCATATCATGAAAATCAAAAGACTAAATGACTATATTTCCAGGTGTAGAAAATAAAAACATGATAAGGCACAATATACTAATAACCAAGGGAGCTGAATATTCGATTTCCATGCCATTCCTTACTAACCATTATTTTCACAAGTTCTATTTTATTTCATTATAATTAGGAGAGAATACCTACTGTATATATTTAAGGTCTGATCTCAAATAATCATCAATATTCAAAATACATCTCTTATCAGATTTCATTGTTTTCAGTCACTTATTCAACATGCAAAAAATACATGTTTTATTTCATTCTCCAAGAAATTGCAAAAATTGGATTACTAACCTTTGATGCATAGTAAAAAAATAATTTATGAAGATTATCAATACAGATCCATTGCCAAGAAAGCAAATAGTATATGAATCATCTGTATAAATAAGCTTGATCAACAGTAGGAGGATTTGGAGAACTTGATTTTATTGTTTCATTATTTTTTAACTAAATAAATCTTACAGATCATGTAAATGTTTGCAATAGTACCAGTCTGGCACTGACATCTTCAGAAAAGTTTTTTTTTAACCCTTCTCTATCTAGCCTACAACTTTGGTATTCCTTGTAGATTTCTCAGGTACTAGATACCCCTGATCCTGCTTTGATTCTGAGCTAACACAAAGCCAGTCAGATTCCTTTAAAGCAGCTTTTAAACTAGTACCTCTCTGACTACATAACGTGACCTATATAAAGGTTATGATTAGTTCTTCATTTTCTGGTGCTTTTTCTGATGCTTTTTGTCCTAAGTCAAAAACATATTGCTATTATTATGTGTTATGCAGTTTCTCTGAAAAACTCTTTCCTTTCCTAAATGTTTTTCCTAAATTCTATTCTCAAAGGCATTTTTTCTGCATGTCAATATTATTAAAACTGATAGACTGTGCTATCTTGTTCAGTATTAACTGCTGATGAGTATTTTTGTTTCCACTGTATGGGATAAAAGAGGTGGACTTTAATTAGAAGCACTGCTTTAACGTAAAAGAAAAAAAAGAATCTGTTCCATGACTAGATCTTAATTCATTAACCATGTCAGATTGTTTTAATCTCATGTATCTTACAAGATACAAAATTGTAATAAGGGGTAGTGCCATTCTATATCTTTCTAAACAATTCGGAAGAAGAGCCTTCCTAGTACATGATAAAATATGACATTTGCATAATGCATCTTGATTGCAAAATGCTGCTATCTTTGGCAGACAATATAAGCATGACACTACCACAGTCATTACTCTTTGTGGAGTTTTTCTCACTAATGGCTTCTTTTACCCTACCGACAATTACAGCTAGCCAATACCCTGCCCCGCCCCACAAAAAAACCACAACTTTTCCTGTCAGATTTAAGACATGACTGACAAAACCTAATCCAGGAGATAGATGATGACAAATCAATTTGCAGCTCTACCTTTATATACTGTAATGGCAAAGCATTTCAGGGATGATAAAGCTGATCCAGTGATGACAATCTAAGTATTCAACAGCAAGAGCTAATCATATACTTCAGCCATCAAGCATCGCTTACCAACATATTCAGAGAGGAACACAACAAAGAATGGAGTGACCAGGTCATTAATCCCTTGCACGTAGCCGCTGGCAGGGTGTCGGATGGCCCAGATAAACAGGATTCGTTCAAAGATCTAGAGAGGAAGAAGGAAAGCCAGGTGCTTGAGTTAGCCATGCCCAAGGAAAGAGAAAAAAGGAGAAAGCCTGAACAAGTGCAGGGGAGAAAAAGGGTGTGGTAAGAGTTAAAAATGCATAGTGACTAAAGAAATAGCCAGGGTTGAGGATCTTAGCAGCAAGAGAAGTCTCAGCATTCAGTGTACCTGGCTCCTAGGATGCCACGTGCAGAAGCCAGCAGAAATTCAGAATTATCATCCTCATAGATTAATATTCTGCTCTGGAAAGAGTTTATCTATCCTTTTCCACTGTCTACATGATTAAGCACCTAGAGGATTACAAGCTGAAAGGCAAAGGAGATGCTGGTTGGGGATTACCTAGCTTCACTTCCTCCAAGGACACACATTCATGGATGGAAACCCTGAGGTTATTTCAAACCAGATCTGCAGCCATTGGAAAAAAGAAGCAAGTTCTGGGGAAGATCAGATACCTTCTCAACTTTTTTATCCTTGACTTACAAAATCAAAGTTGCTTCTTGTTAAGAGGAGGAAAAAAAACCATACTGTCCAATTAAGCCGTATGCCTGCTTCTTTGTTCAAATATTTCAGTCAAAGAGGACAAAGGGCACCAAGTGGGCTGTACTGTCATTAATGTGAGCCATCATTAAGCAAATGGTTGTAAATTGAAGACCATCTTTAATTGATATCTTTCAAACAGATGTTTGGGGGTCAGCAGTTTCAGAACAAATTTCATGAATGTCATGCCTAGTTCAAATAGCAGATAACCAATGATGAGGAAAAAAAGCATTACTGGACATCCCGAAGAATACACAATATTGGGCTAAATTCACAAGTATTCAGATGTGGATTAAGGCAGTTTCCTGTTGTTCTAGTCCAACATGTCTCCTACCTCTGTTATGTAGAGTCTTTCCAAAGTCACTATCATGTGTTTTGCAGATGTTCTTATATCTACTGTTAAAAAGTTCCTCATTTTCTGCAATGAGGTTTCTTGCTTATGGATTAATATAGGCAACAAAAGGCCTTCTCACAACTATCTGGTATGGCCGAAATTCATGAACCTTAGGATGAGGCTATTGCTAATATGTACACAGCAGCCCCAAAACACACTGTCAAGTTCAATAAATCACCTCTGCAGAATCAGCAGGATCTGATAGACCATACATTGCAGTTCTTTGACAGAGGTGCTCTAGATTCTCTTGTTTCCTTCAAATATAAGAATAGGACTCAGGCTTGAGGGCCCTGATGGGTTTTCTAGTTACACACCAGATTCAGAAACATTAACCCCAGCATGCTTTACGTCCTCGTGGTGATTTCTGTAATTGAGAGAACTGACATTCTCCGGAATATATATTCACATTTCATGAAACATGGTATGCAAGCAATAATGATAAATGAATAACTTCTCTGTTACATTTGCATCCACAATGATTGAATTTAGTAGACGAGCATCTGAAGACTGTTATTTCAAGAATACAAAATCTGGATGGAGGTATTTATTGCTGGCTGTAGGAAACTTGTTATAGCAGAACAAAACAAGCAATATCTCAGTGCCCTTGGTATAAATTCCCTGACCAGTTTTCCCTTCAAGAGTCTGCACAGGTTATTTTATGACTTTCAGGATAGTCAGCAATGGCATTCAACATATTTGTGACAGATAGCTCTCATTAATCATACTTTGAACATGGCCGTTTGTTTTGCAGCACTACCACTTACATAAATGTTTAAGTATTCTAGCTCTTAAGCTGATCAAAGCTTTATAACAGTATGCACAGGCAATTGTCTGATACAAGGAGAAAAGGGACATACACCAGAAAACAAGCCATGACAATGTGCCTATTCATTTCAAGGCCAACAGCACAGGACCTTGTTAGGTATTTATTTATGCTCCATAAACCTGAAGAACTGAATCAATCTATTATGGTTTTAGACAGACCTTGCATTAGTAATCATAAATTCCCAAACCCAATCAATGCTGACTCCTAAATATAGAAAAGCCCAACAAAGGCTAGGAATGGATTAAGATCACTTAAGCTTGACTGAAACAGCATGATTTGCAGGCATCAGTAAATAATCAGTAGAATCAGATTGGTCAAAGCTATAATGATTTATACTTTATAACATGTTTAGTTATTAATATTTGGAATTCTATTAATCTAGCCATATGTCTGCCATTTAAAACTCTACTAAGATAGTTTATGTTCTTAGGCAAGTTACCTCATTGTTACAATATGGACTTAGTTTTGCTGCTGATACACATTGAAGGGACACTTTAAAAGTCAGAGACTATTCCTTCATGAGGTCACTACTTTCTGTAAAAGAGTTTCTCAAACACTAACTTAACTTCTAAAGAGGCATATCACTAGAGAGCATCTAGAAAGCCCATACAGATTCCTGACTTTTACTCATAGTAACTTCCTAGATATTAGTAGCATCCTCAGAAGACTTATTCTGGATACTTATCACTGAAAGAAGGATAGAAAATGCCTGGAGAAATAAATTCCTTGGTTTTCATGCCTTGGTTTTAAATTCTCCTTCAAAGGTATTCAAAATGGCATACTGTATGGTCAATTTTTCTTCATCAGAAAAAAAATCTTTCCAACTGCACTGGTCTTATTGTTCTACTAATCTTATTTTGATTTTAGAATATTGTCTATTCTATTAATATTTTCGTATTTTTCTTTCGTTCTATTGATTTGTAAGCCACTCTGGGAGATCTTAGATAGCAGGATATTTGGGGCTATAAACAGATAGATAATATCAGAACATTGCAACTAACTAAATATAACTGTGCATAGGAAAAACACTTTATCCTATCTAGTACATTCTAAAAGGTTAAAAAATATGGAGAAGTTGAACCTTTTTTGTTGAAAGTTTGTAATTTCATGCAATAATTGAATATATGGATTCTTATGAAAAGTCCATAATTAGACAATATTGAAGCTACCTGGCTGCAGATTGAAATGTTAGTCCTGTATATATTTTTTTTCTGTTGATTTGCCAGCAACATCTAGTAATATGATGCAATGCCATTGTGTTACAAATTTCTTTATCGCCACAGCAATGGCTGGTAAATTAAAAGAAAACAGAATGCAACATTATCCTATCATACGTTTATATTAATGCAGATCCCTAAGAACAAAGAGACAGGGAAATATTTACCCAGTGGCAGTGTGCATTCTTTTATAACTTCATAATGATTTTTGCATTTCCCAAATGGTACACTTAAGTAGAATATTGATAAAATATTCCTGCAAAAATAAGTGTGCCTGCATGATTCATTTATATTGCATTTTGAAGATGCAGCATGTAATAGTACATAGCCACGTAACTTTTAGAGTGGAAAGAAAATACTTAAAAGAGTGATTAAAAATATATATATCTATCAGAACAGCCCTTGAATAATACAAGGCTGTTAACCCTAGAACATTCTTCCTTGACCTCATCAAGTTTATGATGTTGAACTTCAATTCCCAGAATTCCTCAGCCAAATGAAAGTTGACGTTCACACATCTTAAACTGGTTGCCGTTGGGTATCTGTGCTCAGAAAATCAGAAATGCATTGAACAAAACAAAAATTTCAGTAAGCATCGTTGATCACCAACATCAAGAGTTAAATGACTTATCGGGGGGGGGAAGAGAAAAATTCTCACCTCTTGAACTAATGGTTGCTGGAACAGAGGGATGAGAGGATTTGTCCGTGGAATGTCTATATGGATCTGAAAATGATTTTTAAGAAAATAAAAAGATATTAAGGACTGCAAATAAATCTTGCAATCTGCAAATATAAGGCAACATTTCTATGGCCTAATCTAAACAGAAGATAGAATGTCACTGATTCACAGAGCACTAACATTGTAGCATGTTCTTGCTCATCCAACTAAACAATGATTCAAGGATATGTTAATGATCCAGCACAAATATGCAAGCCCTGCAGGAATAATCCCTTCAAAAGGCTACCCTAAAAGACCTAGATAATTTTCCCAAAGTAGCTTCCCTCTGGGTCAAGAGTGCCTGCCATTCCTGAAAGACTCCCAGGCACCAGCCTGGTAGTTATGAGGTTCAGTTTTGTAGGGAGCATACGGGAAGCTTTCCTCCCAGCAAAAGAGCAAGCAGCCCACACTGTCAATGGCAGGAAGAACATAGTGATATAGAGCTGCTTCAACAGGAAGGAGTAGGGAAGTCTTGCGTAGCTTTTTCCTTTTCTTTCCAGGAAAGCAATTCCAGTGGCTCTCTCTGGAAAGAGGTGGAAAAAAGCATCCCAGAGCAAGGTGTGTTGGAGATTAGACCTCCGCTCCCCACAAGCATGCTTAAAATCATGGATTTTCCCCAAACCACCAAGCTACTGATCTGCAAGCAAGTTCCTGGAGAATGAACAGAGTTTTTTGTACATGCATACGTTTATGTGTCTACTGGGTATATACAGTATGTATATCTGGAATATATGGCATTCAATATCTGAAATAGCTCTGAAAGGCAAAAAGGTTATCTATTCCTGTTCTAGGGCAGAGGCCCCCAACCTTTTGGGCACCAGGAACCGGTTCCGTGGAGAGAGGTTTTTCCGTGGACCGGAGGGGCGTGGTTTTGTGTGCTGCCTGCATCCTGCGGATGGGACTTTGCTTGATTGTGTGGACAGGTTGCTGGCATGCCGCGGCACGGTACCGGTCCATGGACTGAGGGTTGGGGACCCCTGTTCTAGGGTCATTAGTCAGATCAGTTTCATGTCTGCTGACTTTTGACAATGAATAACACCTAGGGAGTCTAGTATAGTATTACCAATGTTAATTTGGGAATCTGGAATGGGAAGACCCATTCAACTACAGAACTCACTGAGTGACTTGTGCAGAAACTGTCTCAACCAATCTATCTCACATGACTATTGTTATGTGGGTAAAATTCAGGAATTTCCTTACTTTCCAAATATATGTTTTGGAGCTCAGAAAAGGTGGAAGCATAAATGCAAAGAATTGTAACTAAACAAATAATGGTCAGAACTACATGCAAATCGGTAAGGGGTCAAGTTCAATCTAGAGCAGTGGTGGCGAACCTATGGCACGGGTGCCAGAGGCGGCACTCAGAGCCCTCTCTGTGGCCATTGCCCCAGCCCCGCCTCTCCACGGCCCCCTCCTCACTAGCAGCCCCCCCAGAGAGTTGCCCCCGGGCACGGCCCGCACAGAGCAGCACAGCCAAGAACATGGCAGCCAGGCAGCAGGGACAAGACTCTGCCTTCGTGCCCCAACGCGTGCAGATGATGCTGCTCGGTGTGGGTGGAGGGCGTGGCTGCCATGGTGCTACAGGGTCGCCTGGGTGATCTCCGGCAGGTGGTGGAGGCAGTGGCTGGCCCTGCAAGTGGGCGGAGGTGGAGCAGGGGCAGGCGGCGGAGCAGGCGGGTGGGCTGGGGGAGCGGAGCAGTTTTTGGGCACTCGGTCTCTAAAAGGTTCGCCATCGCTGATCTAGAGATTAGAAGTCTGAGTACCTGCCGATAGGTATCTTGATGGTGCTCCTCATTTCTGGAATCATAATACTGTTGTATGAACCCAAAATACTCTTCTCGTTTTCGTTGTAAAGTCAGCTTCCTTCGTTCCATATTGGCAGGGAGATAACCCTATAGAAGACAAAACCTGTCAAGTCAAAATCCCTCCACTGTGTTCCACACTCCTATCCAATTTTCACTCTGACCTGCCCAATGCTAGCCCACAAGAAGAAAAGGGTATAGGATTTAACAAGAGTCCAACAAAAAATTATAGAACCAAAAGTTCAAAAAATGTAGCTTCCTCTAATCAAGTTCTCCATTGGGGAAAGAAACCACAACTATCAACATTTTTCCTTGCACTGAATGCTTAAAAGCATTGGAGAAGGTCTTACTTTGGAGCCTACAATTCCAGCATCAGATAAAGATTTCTTGTGAAGTCGGAAATACTGTTGCCATGTAATTTCTCTCATTTTCTACAGACTTTGGAATTCATTGACATTCTTGCTTTTTCATGGCATAACTAACATAACATATGGGCTATTTTTATTTCTAAATCAGTTTTTACAAACCTAAGCATAAAATGTACTGTTCTCCCATGCTACAGTGTCATATTCCTCTCAAGAGATCTCAGGCAGCTTGGTTAAGAAAGACTTGGGCTAAAAAGCCAACCAGGAGCTGGGTTTGCCTGGAGCCCAGTTATGCATCTTGGATACATTTTCATTATGTAGATGACACAAGTTGTCCTAGGTCAGAGGATGCAGCACTCACTGATAAAAGTCGCCAAGTCACAGGACGAACCTCTCTGGGGACACCAGGCCAGCTGCATTTCCTCAATTCATCTGCAAAGGGGAAACAGTGAGTTGATTCATATTAAGTTTTTGGCGTTTTTAAAGAAGGCAGAAAGAATATACCTTTTTCCCCCTCTGGGTAAGTAACTTGTTGTTTAGATATGTAGGGCAATGGTGACTACTGGGTTTCCCCGAAAATAAGACCCAATCGGAAAATAAGCCCTAGCATGATTTTTCAGGATGCTCGTAATATAAACCCCACCCCAAAAATAAGCCCCAGTTAAGATCGTCAGCCAGACGGATGCATTTAGTACTGTATTTCCCTGAATATAAGCCCTAACAGGAAAGTAAGTCCTAATGCATCTTTTGGAGCAAAAATTAATATAAGACTCAGTCTTATTTTCAGGGAAACATGGTATGTCTCTTTGTATTTTAATTCTTTTAAATTTAAAATTGGATTTAAAATATGTATGAAAACAAAATTATAAATCAAATATAATCATTGGGACTGTATAGATCAGTGGTGGCGAACCTATGGCACGGGTGCCAGAGGCGGCACTCAGAGCCCTCTCTGTAGGCACGTGCGCCGTCGCCCCAGTCCTAGGCCTTCAGCTGGGTTTTATAAAACCTTTTCGTTTTAGGCCTCCACTGCCGTGTGCAAAAAAAAAAAAAGGTTCAATCAGTCAATTTCAACTTCTCGCAGGGAAAAAAAAGATATTGCAAAGTTGGAATTGATTGATTGAACCTTTTAGTCCCACCCAGTCTGCCATTACCACCGCAGTCACGCCCACCCAATGGGCCACACCTACCCAATTGGCCACACCCACCTGGCACCCGATGATGCATAAGTGGGTTTTGGGTTGCAGTTTGGGCACTCGGTCTCTAAAAGATTCGCCATCACTGGTATAGATCTACAACTGTACAGCTTTAATCCTCATGCAATCCTTGCTTAATGAGATCCCTCCCAAGACTAGCACATTAGCATTTTTGGCTAGTCCGGCTAGGGATGATCTCACACTGTAATCTCATGCTACACAAGGACATTTGTGATAACCTAAACAAGCTTGCACCACCACGGGAGGGATGTGGCTTGTTTGTTTATTTATTATTTCTAGAAACCGTAAAAGTTCTTGGGGTGCTTTTATCATCCCAACACCCGGACTCACCTAGATCTGTGTTTTGGCTGGACAGAAGCTGCCGGAATTTTTCCAAGCGAGTTTTCTCACGCACCGTCATGGGAGGAGCCCCAGAAGCATTTTGGTCAGAGATGCGAGCGACAAGTGGAATGATGGGTCGGAGTGGAAGGGATTGCTGTTTGTGGAGGGGGTTGCGCATACAGGCATCCTCTAAAAGAGTTTAAAGAGGTCCATCAGGAGTATACTGGGCAGCAGCAAACACTGGAGCTTCCAGAATCCATTGTTTTCTTCATGCCTCCAGAATCTCCAATTCCAGGAAGGCTCCCGCACCTTTAAACACACACATGGCAAGGAAAGTCTCCATATCTGTGAATTTTCTCTCCCATCACTCAATGATGGCAGAGGCTTCACATGTTGAACTGTTTCCTGCCATGCTGTTATTAAAAAGGTACGCAAAGAACTTGAGAATTAGTCAAAATAAACTACAAACCAATTTACTCCTACTGAGCAAGTTATCAAACCCCTGCACAGGAATACCCTGACATTTTATGATTTTCACTATGCTTGACATAACTTTTTAAGGAAAGTGCAGAGATCCAATGATTGTAATGGTAAAAGTAGAATGTTGTATTGTTGGCAATTTAGATGGATGGCTCTTAAACCACTTTCACTGATGCCAAGATTACCTGGCCTGTCCATCAACATTATATAAAGCCAATGCTCTCTCAGCTCTTCTTCCATCGTCTCCTCCTGTTCAATCCCTTCCATCTGTTTCCAGATTTCAGGCTCTTTCATTCCTTCTTCCTTCAGCATGCTAAACAACAAAATCAATAGCACAGAAGAGGAAGCACGACACCTCAAAGGCAATCTACAATCCCCAATTCCTCTATACTACAATGCTAAAAAGCCAACCAATTTCCAGAAAAGAAATGTAACCTGGCATGGGCTTTGATGCCATCTGGTGGTAGCTTTGCAATCAGATAGCTCATTTTTCAAAGCCAGACAGCAGAATATACTTTGCTCGTTGAAGTATACAAGATAAGGCATGCATTATCTTAATTGTTTGATTAATATTAGGAGTGTACAATTTTTGGCTTGAGGATTCCATTAGGCTTTGTGGCAGAAGCCATTTCAAGGGAAATTTCAGAGACTATGCAGGGTGAAATGGGTATCTTTACAGTATTTGTAAAGATTAAGGTACTGATTTTACCCTTTAATCTTCCCTAAAATCCAAAGCCATCAAAGATGTTGTCATAACATTTTGGGAGTGGAACACAAAAAAAATTCTGGCAGGCTGCATGATGACTCCAGGCAATATATTTTACACTCATATCTTACATGCAATATCAAGATTCTTTGGTCACAACTCTATGTTCTTCCCAAAAGTTTCAAAAAAAATGTGAGTACCAGTTTGCTAACCAAAAGGTCTTTATCTACAGAAAGAGCACACACATCTTCCCCCGCCCTCCAATAAACATGCAGTAACTATGCTTGATATCAGTTAGTAAAAATGACTAATCACTGCTCATGAGAGCATATCAGATCTATGCATGCTCTGCAAAGAAACGTACTTCCAAAATTACTATTATAATTTAAATGTCAAGAAAAGCCAAGGTCTACCAACTACAATACTAAATCAGATCCCAGGATTCACCTTGTCTAGCACCCAAATATACTGTAACCAATGTCCATAAACAAATATGAAGCTCAAGAAAATTTTTATATATCTGCATCAATGTATTTTGTTCCTGCTAAATACAGGACAAACTAAAAAGTTTAAAAAAGCATGAAAGTCTTGTTTCCTGGGATATTGTACTTAGCCAGTTACCAGCTTTCAGGATTTCATCAGGAATTAGCCACACACATAAAAACCTATTTCTTCATCCATAAGGAAAAAAAATGCATTTCTTGGCTAAAATAGATTGAAGGTTTTGAGAAGATTCCATTCTGCCTTTGCCTACAAATGCAGCATTTATACAGAACTGCAGAATTCACCCTCACAAATTTGATGGGATATACCGTAGTAATATACCTCAAAAAAAGCCAAGAGCCACAAGCAACGTACCAGGTCCTCTGGATAGCTGGGCCTCACTGTTGGATTTGATGACTTTACAATTGATTGGTGCATCGCTGAGAGCTGCCTGGGGCCACTCGGGTTTCATACGCAGCCTGCTGTGATTTTCTAGGACTTGTGCTGCTGTGGCCTTGGCCACTTTAGAGTTCAATGTTTGGAAAGATGAGAAATCTTCATCTTCATCATCCCCAATATCCCAAGCATCACTAGTGTCCCGAGCAAACTCATGAAAACTGCTGGCCTTCTTATTTTTCATAGATAGCGTGTTGATCTTGGAGCGTTCCTTGATGAAGCTAAAAAAGTAAAGTGACACACTGTATTGAGAATTGCACTCAGCTTTGATATATAAATTTTCCTTGTCTATAATAACCTTTCATCATCATTATCATTTAATGTATCAGGTGCTCTCCCTCCATCCCACTGGTTCCCTCTCTTCCCTTTCAGTGACCCGAAGAATGGAACATAATTTTAGGCAATCTCCACCAAATACAAACTTCAAAATCTAAACCAGAGCTTTATAGACTTAGCAGGCAAGAAACCAAACCATTTCTGCCTAAGTCCATTATATAACGGGCAGTCCATGAAACCTTCTATGTGGTAAGCAAAGCAAAACTTTGGTTTTATGTTATGTAAGTAGAATACTAAAGAAGTATAAACAACGCATATATATATAAGACATGTGAAAATAGAAATGTTAATATACTTTTGCCCAATTAACATGCATATTGAATAAAGACACAATCCCATTGTTGGAGTAACACTGTTAATTTGCACTTGCTTTATTTTCAGTTATATGAATCATGATCCTAGCATCAAAGAACCTAGGATAAATCTTTGTCTATTCAGACCAAGAAACCTAAATGAATTCCAAGAAAGCAAGGCAGATCAAAATTGAATTTAAAATGCAAAAAAGAAATTTCTTAAGAATACATCAGAAACCCCTACCAATAATCCAAAGTTAATGATGGTACTGAGCCCCCATTAGTTCCAGTGGTCTTTGCTCACATGTACTTTTCAATCATAAATTTTAATACAAAATGATGTTAACTAAATTGACAAATGGAAGTAAATTCTAAATAGTTGCATGATAATCCAGAAGTCAAATGTCAATAACAGTAACAAATAAAAGACCAAATTTAGCCAATCAGTGTACATAGACCAACATAAAAGGCACCATGTTTCTCAAACTTGGTCAATTGAAGATAGGTGGACTTCAGCTCCCAGAATTCCCCAGTCAGCATTGCTGGGAGTTGAAGTCCACAAGTCATAAAAGAGCCAAGGTTGCCTACCCCTGCTCTAGGCATTATTATTTAAGGACTAAAATGAATGTGTTAAATCAATGGCTCCCAGCCTATAGTCTGAGAGGGTTATGTATATTGCCTTCATTGAAAGTTCCAAAACAAAAGTGGTTAAATCCCTTTTTTAAATACAAATTTTAGTAAGAATTTTTCACAGAATAAAAGACAAATCCCAAAAAAGAGAGAAAAGTTACAAGAAACAAAAGTAAGAAAGACAGAAAGAGAACCAAAGGTGAAGAAATAAATGACTTCTGATCTTTGCAACAGTTATTTACAAATTTATTATCCTTCCCTCCCACCTGGATGTTACACTAATTGCATAGATACATAGACAGATCTATATTTTCATCGTTTATACAGTAATCAATAATGCATAGACTAAATTCAGTGACTCCAGTACAACCACTTCAAAGTTCAGCAGTTAATATTCTTGAAATAATCATCTTTATTCAGAATGACACTAAAACTGGCCTACGTATGTCTTTGGCCTTCTTATATCCCAAATGTCCCTCTCCCTTTACAAAGATTCAATCAATAACCAAAGCAGTGATAAGGATTTATAATAAATGACTTAATGTTGTATAGCCCATAATATAAATGCAACAGGTAAGTGATATCAGTGTGAATGAATATAGCTTAAGGATAGCCAAAAATAAAAAAATACAAAGGTAAATCAGTATAGAATTTATTATATACTAGCTGTACCCGGCCACGCATTGCTGCGGCTCAGTCTGGTTAAATGGAAAAGAAAGAAAAGAGAAAGTGCACGTTTGTAATATGTTTAATTTCACAATGCTTGTGGGTGTGTTGCTTTTACATCCAACATAGCGCTGTTTTTCAAAAAAAGCATGTTTTTACCTGTCACAGGTGTGACATTTATATAATAGTAGGTATATAAAAACATGCACGTATTCGAATGCAATGTTGTATCAAAATTTCAAAGCAATCGGTGAAGAACTTTCGGAGATTTAAGATTTTGAACAAACGAACATTTACATTTTTATTTATATAGATTTAAGATTTATGAAATGAATATTTCAAATTTCTTTATAAAATCATATTTGCTATTTAAATATGACACCTCTTTAACAGTTAATGTTTAATTCATTTAAGCATGTCCCAATTCATTTAAGCATGTCCCATGATCAAAATTTGGGTGCTTGACAAGTGGCATGTATTTATGATAGTTGCATTGTCCAGGGCTCATATGATCACAATTTGTAACCTACCAAGCTCGCTTCTGACAAGCAAAAGCAATGGGGGAAGCCAAATTCACTTAACAACTGCAGTGACTTGCTTAAAAAACGGTGGCAAAGAAGGTTGTAAAATGGGACAAAAGTAAGCACTAAAAAGTATTTACTTTTTAGTGAAAAAGTACTTACTTTTTAGTGAGCCGTGGGTCCAGTGGAGGATGCTGAGCTCCATATACAGGTTGAATACTGTAAAAGAGACAAGAGACACAACTAATATTAGATGTATATCCTGCCTTTCCTTCAAAAGAGTTCAAGGCAACCTCAATTTTCCTCTATAACAATGTTTCTGCGAGACAGAATGGGCTGAGAGGTTGGGTCTGTCCCAAAATAATCCAGTGAGATTTGATGGCTGAAGGTGAATCTGAATTTGGGTCCTCCTCACTCTAGTCTAGTGCAATAAATAGCACTGGCTTTGGAAATAACCACAGAAACAACTTCAGCATCCTCAATGTTTCATAATAATTCAGAGCTGAAGGGTAGTTCTTTTAAGAGGACAGATATTTCTTTTGAACTGCTATGGCAGGCATGTCAAACTGCTGGCCTGCAGACCGGATGCGTCACGCCAAAACTGCGCCCACCCCATTGCCGGCAATGGGGAAAAAGTCCCAATACGTTGCACGATGTCACGTGACATCACGAGTTTGACATGCCAGTGCTATGGTAACATGAAAAACAACAACAACAACAACATGAAATTAAGAGTGGGGTTGTGAAAAGTTCAGAATGAAATGCAGAATAAGTCTTCAACCCCAGTCATAATATTAGAGTGGCTGAGTTTGGTGTTTTATATTAAACATAACAGTGTTTCTCAATCTTGACAATTTTAAGGCATGTGGACTTCAACACCCAGAATTCCACAGCCAGCATTGCTGGCTGTGGAATTCTGGGAGTTGAAGTCCACATGCCTTAAAATTGTCAAGGTTGAGAAACACTGAAACATAATATGGTTGTTCTGAGCAACGAATGTGTGATTCTTGCCTTTCGCCATTAGAAGTGTTACAGAAATAGTTTAAAGAATTTTAAAAAAACACCACTTTGGCCTTAATTACATGAGAACCAGACCATTATGGCTTATTCAATAAACCACAGGTTTAACAAAACCTAACTTAATATGGCGTGTGAAATTAGTGTGGAAATTTTGTAATCTGTAAATAAGGTTTCTTATTCTTTTTAAAAAAGAATTATTTTATGCAGTTCTGCTTTTGCTCCAGTAAGATACTACTACTTAAGAAATACAAATGCTCATTTCATAAAGAAAACTTATTTCTTTATTTGCATTTATTTATTTATTTATTGGACATATAGGGTTGCAAAATTCAAACAATGTAAGTTTGGGCAATATAAAAAAACAAAACAAAAAAACCCCACCCCAACTCCAACATAACATAAAAAACTAGTACATAAAAGAAAAATGATGATCTAATTTGATAATTAAGCAATCAGAAAAGGATTCTACTTAACTGGACCCCAAAAGCCTCCCCGGGGGGGGGGGGCAGATCTTAACTGCTTTTTGAAGGCAAAAGAATTGGGGTCTGTTTTATATTGGGAGAAGGATTGTTCCAGAGAATACAGCCATAAAAAAAGGCATGCAAATCCTGTGAGACGGGAAAGTTTAAAAGCTGGAACTTGGAGCATGCTCTCCCTATGGAGGCATGTGGAATGGATAGATGTTCTTGGAAGAAGACAATCCTGAAAGTAACTCAATATCTTGAATCAAAACCAGGAGCCTATTAGGGGCAAGTGCAGTTTATGGAGTAGTGGTGTTATATGGGCAAAATGAACTGCACCTATAACTCCCTGTGCTATTGCAATTGAACTTCCAGATGGTCTTCAAGAGCAGTCCCATATGTCGCAGTAGTCTAATTGGGAGGTGACTAAAGTGTGAATGAGCACGAACAAGAGCTCCTAGTCCTGGAATGAATGCAACTGGTACACCAGACATAGTTGTGCAAAGGCCCTCTGGGCTACTGCTGCTACCTGCTCTTAGGACAAGAGTTTGAGTCCAGAAAGGCCTCCAGGTTGCACATCGTTTGAATGGGGCAGTGTCAACCTAGTCTAGAATGAAGATGGAAACACCCAGATCCAGAATCCATAACCATTCCACCATGGCAGGATTCAGGCACAACCTACAATATGTTTGAAATAATAGAAAGCAGTTTCCAAAGACTTTTAACAGTTTCATTTGGATAGATAGAGCCAGAGATATACAATTGAGTATCATAACGGTAAGCCCCCCACAGGTTTAGTTTATTTTATCTAGAGTTTAACACACTGAAACAGAGGAGTATAATGACAAAACTATGCAGACATTTTAAGGACCAATTCAGTAAGCATTCTTAATAAAGCTATCCAGCTACAAGGAAAAGCAATAACAGAATTGACAATCCATTGTAAACACCTTTCCTTTACTTAATGCCAAGAAGTCACGTGGAAGTGATTTCCCATTTTAATAAACAACTCTTTGCTAGTTTCCACGACATTCTGGCCCAAATCAAAATATCTGTTATCCCTTTTAGCAGATTTAACAGAAACCAGCTGACAGAGCTCTATGTATGCCAAGTGATTTTTTTTTTCCTGCTTAGTCTGAAACTAGCTGCCTGGTGGTGGAACAGATCATATGCTCATTTTTTTCTAGCCCATACATAACATATATACAAAATTGCAAACTGTGTGTATTATAAACAATTTGTGCACATTCACATTATACAACTTTAGGAGGAATAAGATAGCCATGTTTGGAAATCCTGTATAAACCAACTATTATCTGATAAAAATTATCAAGCTTCAGAGCTTCATAAAACAATAAAGGGGAAACCTTGCACTCTCTTCTGCTGGTGTGAGATATCACAGCACTGATGATGTTGCAAAGTACTCACACCAAAAATGGAAGAAGTTTATATTTACTGGTTAGCTCAGGTTCAAGTTGGCTCATTTGCCTTTCCCAAACCAGTTTATCTGGTTGAGTCAACTTTACTGTTTAAAACAACTACAGATGAAAGCGGATTCACAGAAAGGCAGAATTATATGCAAGCAGGATGTGGCATTATAATAAGACATCCAAAACAAAAAAGTGCTACTGCACTTGCAAAAATATTTTCTCTTTCTTTTCAAACACACATATTATACAACATTTGTTTGCAATGTTCCTAGACTTCTGAACTATCCAAGTATTCTCATAGCCAGAGAAGCTAGAGTAGTAAAGATAGAAACAAGAATTACCTACTTGGATAGAATTTAAAGCTAGCAAAGCATTCCTGGTTGGCTCAGGTTCAAGTTGGCTCATTTGCCTTTCCCAAACCAGTTTAGCTGGTTGAGTCAACTTTACTGTTTAAAACAACTACAGATGAAAGCGGATTCACAGAAAGGCAGAATTATATGAAAAGGATGTGGCATTATAATCAGATATCCAAAACAAAAAGGTGCTACTACACTTGCAAAAATATTGTCTCTTTCTTTTCAAACACACATATTATACAACATTTGTTTGCAATGTTCCTAGACTTCTGAACCATCCAAGTATTCTCATAGCCAGAGAAGCTACAGTAATAAAGATGGAAACAAGAATTACCTACTTGGATAGAATTTAAAGCTAGCAAAGTATTCCAGACACTTACAATGGTAGTTACATGGTCAAGATGAGGTTAGAGGACCAGTTTCTGAACTATACAGCTTTTGCCCCAAATTGCTATCCATGAAGACTGCTACTTAGTTTCCCTACATTTTTCTCATTTATTTCTGATTGTGTCAATTCATTATTTTTTAATTCCTTTAAGATTGCAAAAACAAAAGTGTAGTTTTCTCACATTTAATTGGTAAAAGGGAGCAATCTAATCAAAACTCACAATCTAAATGATATAATTAAGGAGAAAATATTGGAATATTCCAAAATTATGAAATATTGGAAAATATTCCACTGCTGATGCTCAAGTTTCTCCACACCCAAAGTAGTAAGGGAGGAAGTTAAGAAAAAGATGGTCAAGAATATGATCTTATATGGGAAAAGAGCTGAAAGTTTATGCATGCATAAATTTTAACAAGAGTTCAAATTTTGCTAGTAAGACATTGGTTTGAAGAAGATAACAGAAACCTACAGTATGTTTATTCAGCACTCCTTACACATAGAGCTTATGGGAGGAGAAAGAAAAGAAGGGGGACAAAAATCCCTCTAACTCCTTATGATTCAAATATTAAGAGCTTCCCGCTTAAGTTTTATGGGTGAGGGATTACCATAGAGGCCCGTTGCATCTTTAAAAATGGAATAACTTTCTAAGAAAATTGAAAATTCGAGTCTTTTGCTCCAGCCTTGTGTTATGGAAGTTCTCCGGAGGACTCTCTGGGCCGACGATAGGGAAAAGTTTTCAATCATTGCTCTACAGCCGGCCTAACACATTCGTTCGGTTTAAGCATGGCTCGGGTTTTTATTTCAACTTTAACAGGAACTCTCCGCAAAAAGCATTGGCCTAGTAAGCATTACACAGATGCAAACCGATCAGCCTACTACACCAATGAAGGCGCGGGCGGCTTCACTTTCTTGGGGAAAGCGGCACGCTCTGCACCTGTCCAAAGCGCTACTTCGACCGACTTACTCCTAACCATCAGCGCGGCCCGCAAGGCAGAGGTGACCCAGGGCATCGTACTCCTGGAGGCGGGTTTGGAACCTGAGAGCCGAGCAATTAGTTGCTCCACCACTCTGATTAAAAGACTGGGCGTCACATCTCCGAGTGGCAAAAGGGGACAGGACCGCGGGATGATGCCGATGAAGAGATACGGCCCCACGGCTGGAAAGATCCAACTCTTGCCCTCGATGCCAGGCAAGGGGATATCCCGCTTCAGACCACCTCCAGGGCTCTCCCACTTCCCTCTTTCCCTCCTCTTCCTCCTCCTCCTCCATCGCCAGAAGTGACCGACTGAAGCAACTATTCGCTTGAAGAGCAGAGGATCGACCCTTCACCGCACTTCCGAGAAATGAAGGTCGACAAAAACTAGGAGCCAAGCCGGCTTCACTAAGTCAACCTTTGCTCCCCGGGGAACAAACGATCGGTCGGCATCGATGCCCGGACGGAGCCTCCTTTACTCACCTGCCCGGTAGCTTCGCGCTCCGCTTCCAGAACTGCTTGCTGCTTTCCGCAGCCATACCTCGGACAGAGGCCGAGGCCCTCGCTGGCCCGGTAGGGAGAGGGGACAAACCGGAGCGATGGGGCCCGAATCCTCCGGCCGAGACCGTTTCACCTCCTCCTTCCCGGGGTCCCTTTGCCAGTCCCCAGAGCCGCCATCTTGGATTCGGGCGGGCAGAATACACCCATTGGCTGTTTGACGGATAATCCCCAAAGCTTGACCAATCCTGAGTCCCATTTGTAGAGCCACGTGAAGCACGAAGGGAAGAAGAAAAACCTAAACCGGAGGAATCAGAAACCTGCCAGAGAATGAGAGGCGGGACAAGAGATCACAAGCGATAACGGGATGGGGGGGTGGGTGGAGAGAGAGCGAGCATGGAGGGGGGCGGGGGGGCGAGTCACATGCGCTCCAGGGAAGGGGAAGCGGGAAGGGCGGTTTAACTGTCAAAACCAGGCGCGGGAAGGGAAGAGTTGTGTATAAAACAGATGTACAGAAAGTCGCTCAAAGAAGGTATCGATTGAGTATTCAGGAAGTGCTTGACTTTTTTAAAAAAGAAAAACAAAAAAGCGCCGGTTATTTGGCCATATAGTCGCATTTGAATGTACATAAATTTGAAATTAACACACACACCCCGCGCTTTGAAACCTAGAGATAAACAGTTCAGCAAATTAAGTAAAAATATAAATAAAAAATTAGGTGCAAACTTTACTATAATTCGTGTTTTGATACGTGTTTAGAGAGAGAGGCAGGCAGATTCAATCATATTCAATTTCTGGAGACGTCCTGCAGTTTTTTTGGCAACGTTTTTTTTTCCAGAAGTGGTTAGTCATTGCCTCCTTCCTAGGGCTGAGAAAAATAATAATAATAATAATAATAATAATAATAATAATAATGATGATGATGATGATGATGATGATGATGATGATGAATAATAATAATAATAATAATAATAATAATAATAATAATAATAATAATAATAATAATAATAATAATAATAATAATAATAAAAGTTGGAAGGGACCTTGGAGGTCATCGAGTCCAACCCCCTGCTTAGGCAGGAACCCTACACCATTTCAGACAAATGGCTGTCCAGTCTCTTCTTAAAAACTTCAAGTGTTGGAGCATTCACCGCTTCTGGAGGCAGGTTGTTCCACTGGTTAATTGTTCTAACTGTCAGGAAGTTTCTCCTTAGTTCTAGGTTGCTTCTCTCCTTGATTAGTTTCCATCCGTTGCTTCTTGTCCTGCCTTCAGGAGCTTTGGAGAATAGCTTGACTCCCTCTTCTTTGTGGCAGCCCCTGAGATATTGGAACACTGCTATCATGTCCCCCCCTTGTCCTTCTCTTCGTTAAACTAGACATACCAATTCCAGCAACCGTTCCTCATATGTTTTAGCCTCCAGTCCTCTAATCATCTTTGTAAATAATTATTTCATAATTTTGAATGGTTGCTAAGCAACTGGTCTTAAGTTGAGGATTACCTGTACATCAAACAGGCACTGGTTCATTACATAGCTCCCTTGTAAAAGGAAACTCTCTTGTTCTTGTAACTACTTGTAATAATCCTCAACTTACGACCACAATTGAGCTCAAAATTTCCATTGCTAAGCAAAACAGTTAAGTGAGTTTGCCCCATTTTATGACTTTTATGACTTTGCTTGCCACAATTGTTAAGTGAATCACTGCAGTCCACATTGTCTTTGCTTGTCAGAAGGTTGCAAAAGGTGATCACATAATCTCAGAACACTACAACCGTCATAAATACATGCCAGTTGCCAAGCATCTGAGGTTTTCCATTGCCTTTTTCTGGGATTTTTTTTTATAATTTCTTAATATAACCTATAACTCTAAAATGTCCGGTAGCCTCCCATTCAAATATTAACAAGGCCTGAATCTGCTTAACCTTTTCAAGATCAGTTATTCAAAATGAAAACCAGCATTTATCAGAGTATCCATATTTGCATCGAGAGTTAGCCAGAGTCTGCTTGATGTCTTAGTCCTACTTCCTGTGACCAGCAGTTTGCAAGAATGGATCAGTGGCTGAAAACTGTTTCATTGAAATGGTAATACAAATAATGTAGCAGTACCCTGCTGATGATTGCAACAACATCTTTATAAAGATTGAAATTATTTCCAATTAGTTTCTTACGTCAGTTATTACCCCCTTAAAAAACCATATGTAAAGTGCCTTGTGTTTGCCTTGTTGTATGACATATGATATTTATTTTAGGTATTGACATGCAACCACAGTTGAGCCCAAAAGACAATTGTTAAGTGAGTTTTGCCCCCTTTTATGGCCTTTCTTGCTACAATTGTTAAATGAATCACTTTAGTTGTTAAATGAATCATTTGGTCATCTAGCAAATCTGGCTTCCCCGATTAACTTTGTTTATGGAGATTCTCAATTTTCCAGGTCATGGTTGTCCCAAAGGTACTTTTCCAAAAGGCAAATGGACTTTCTTGGTTTTTTCTTTGGAACTGTTTCACTTTCTAAAGTACTGAAGAAGCTTCTTGAATGAGAAGCGAAATGTTGTCACAAAAAACCCCAAGAAAGTCCAGCTGCCTTTTGGAAAAGTACTTTTGGAACACCTATTGACTTTGCTTGTTGGAAATCATCTGGGAAGGTTACAAACAGTGCAACTATCATAAATACATGCTAATTGCCAAGTGTCCGAATTTTGATCACCTAACAATGGAGATGCTGCAAGTGGGGACAGATAATCATAAGTCACTTTTTTCAGTGCCATTGTAACTTTGAATGGTCACTAAATGAATGATTATAAGTCAAGGACTATCTGAATAGGGGAAGAAATTTTGCTTAAATGTAATCAGACGTCTGAATGTATACTCTTAAATTTGCCATACTTGCATATTTCCCAAGTTTGATTTCCCATTCTTGGAGATTACTTGATCCAAGTCTCTTAGGATTTAGAGATTTTTTCTCAAGAATGTATTCTTGACCAGCAGGCTAATGCTAAAATTTGCGATAATGGTACAAAGTATATAAAATAATTCAAGTGATAAATAAATAATCCTAGTGTATCCCTTTAAGTTATGAATATCATTAGGTATTCAATACACTGAGTCACTGAGGGTATACATTTGTCTTTCCAATGTTGTAGAGCTAGATCTTATCAGTATAAAGGACATGGATAATATATTTTCATTATCCACTATTCCCTTCCATCTAATAAGTACATAGTTCAAAAGAATGTAAAAGACAAAAATATTAAATATCACAAAGTCATGTTAATATTCCTTATAACTTTCCTAGATCATAACAATCTTAGGATATCACAAAAATGTTTTCAACAAAGTATTATTCCCACTTTATTTATAAAAAACACAGTGATGTACTCATTCCTTTTTTTATACAAATTCAAAAGGTAATAAATTTTAAATACTACTTTTTGTTCAATAGTCTAACATCTATTAACATTTTATATAGTTGTAATACATTTTACCATTGTTTACTGAAAATGGGGGTCTCTAATTCCTTGTTCAACCCAGTCTTTAAAATTTGTATATAAAATTGATTTATTGATCACAGATATTTATAAAAACTAGAGGAGAGAAAGTATCAAAATGCATCAAGAGAAAGATGAGAGAAAGCATCAAGATCTAGGCAAGACGGGCAGCATATAAATTTAATAAATAAACACATTTTCCAGAAATAATATTTTAAATTATATAAATTATATATTTATATATATTATATATAAATTATATAATGGTTGATAGGAGATACATTTAATCTTTTATATTTTCAACCCTAAACAGAGTCCAGGAAGGAGAATATATGATAAGTGAAGCCATCTGAAATTTGAAATAAGTCAAAGGTTATGCATGATAGTACAGTATACAGATAGTCCTCAACTTATGACTGCTTGTTCAGTGACCATTAAAAGTCATAATGGTGCTGAACAACACAGATTTAAAACCAGTCTGCATAGTTGTGGCTGTTGCAGCATTCCCTGGGTCATGTATTGGTAATCTGAGTGCTTGGGTGCTTGCAATTATGACAGCTCAGTGAGCAATGGTCACATGATTGCCATTTGTGATCCTGTCAGTTTCCCAAAAGCAAAGTCACCACCACCATCTCTCACCCAAGGAGGTCGCTGAGGAGCTTGAGATTCCAGAGATCTTGTACTCTTTAACAACCCCCCACAGCCTTGCCAGCCTACTTGTGCATATGAAAAAAACAAGTGAGTTTTATCGTCAATCCAGGGGCCATATCCCAAATCTGGAGTCATTTTATAAACCCTTTGGAAAATCAGAATTTATCTAGCATACATATTGTGTCTGAATTTTATCAAAAGGTTTTTTCTATATCAAATGATAGAACTATAGTTTTGTATTATCTGTCTTTATTCAAATCAATCAGCTCCTCTACAAGCTGCATATTATCCATACTGTCTTCTTTCAACAACTTCTGGTTTTTGGTTGTTTGGTTTGAAGTTTTCACTGGGGAGAGCACTGAGGTTACTCAAATAATTTAGAACCTTACTGTTAGAGGGTATATATTAATCTGCTCAGAGTCTTTTGGGGTTTGGAGCAGTGTATGAACCCAAATAAGTAAATAAAATGTTTCTTAATTTGTTGTGCAAATAAGTAAGTATATAGATAGTCCTTGCTTACCAACCACTTGTCCAGTGACTGTTCAAAGTTACAATGGTGCTAAACAAGGATACTTAAAAGTATCCTTGAAGTTGTGGTCATCATAATGTCCCTGCAGTCAGATTATTGTAATTTGGGCACTTGGCAACTGGCATGCAATTATGAAGTTGCAGCATCCTGTGGGTCACTTGATTGCTATTTGTGACCTTCATTGCTGGCTTCAGATAAGCTGGTGCAGAATGTGGCAGCACAGGCAGTTCTTAGGGACCCTATTGTGGTGCATACTGCAGATCCCATCAGTCAAGGAAGTTCAACTGGTGGGGTCCAGAAAAAGAGCCTTCTTAGCCGTGGCTCCTACTCTTTGGAACACGTCACCCCCTGAGGTGAGATTGGCTCCCAGCCTCCTGATTTTCCATAAGAGCCTTAAAACCTGGTTCTGCCAATGGCTTGGGGTCCCAATGGGGAGTTTCATACTGGAGGTGGTTGACTAGTTAAAAACTAATCCCACCTCCCCCCCCCATGTATCCAGCTCCATGTATCCTCCATGTATCCTTCTCTATCTTGTGTTAATGATTTTACTTTGTCTGCTCTGTCATTTTATATCCAATGATTTTAATGTTTTTAATGTCTATTATGCTGTAAGCCACCCAGAGTAAATAATAATAATAATAATAATAATAATAATAATAACAACAACAACAACAACAACAACAACAACAACAACAACAACAATAATAATATGGGATAGCTGGCAAGAAGTTGTAAGTTTTAGTCACATGATGTCACACTTAATGAGTGTGTGCCAGAACTGATCACATGTTTTTTCACTTTATAACTTTTCTCTTCCTTTACAGAAAAGATCTAAGGATGGTGTTCTGGTTCTATAATCCAGAAGTTAAGTAATCCAAAAAAGGAAATACCTAGGATCTGATAAATAATGATTTTCTGATAACAGAATCAGACTTACCATGGTGAGAATTTTTTTTTTAATTTTGCAAGAAATTAATGAAAGCAGATACACATAAATCAGTAAAAATTCTGGAATGCATAGAGACCATTGGACATCTGAATAAGAATAATCTTAGAATGAGAACCACAGTAAGGGATATTAGTGATTTTGATTCCATTCACATATTTAAAAGCTAGTTTGTTAGATTCAGAGTTGTAATTAACCAAGCCTAGACTGAAAATATAAATATTGCATAGTTTGTTTTAAAAATATGAGTTGTGATGATTTTATCTTTCTTAAAAATGAGAAGAACAAGTGAGAGTCGCAGTGAAGCTTTTATAAGATTTTGATGCAGTTTGCAATTCAGAGTACCTACCCATTGGATATAAAGATAAATATAACAAAGTGTAGATTGAAATTTTATTTTTTGTTGGGCCATACATCCATTTTAAAAAATTTAAAAATTGTTATATGTCTCTCAAGGCAGATTTCTATAAAGTTCTGGGGGGAGATCACTTAGGACAGGGCATCAGATATTTTGGAGTTACATCTCCTATAATTAGTGACTGTCAAACATGGGGATTATTGGATTTTTATAAATTGGAGATTTTCAGATGACTTACATTTGACTTAAGATAAAGTGTCCCAGAGGTTAGCTTGTGATCCTATAAACTATCGTGCCTAGATAGTATGGATTACACCCTTGGTTTTTTCTCTGTAGTTTCTAAATTTGAGGAAATGTGTTTTTATTTCAGGTGATGAAATTTGATGAAACAGCTCTGCTCAAATACAATATCCAAAATATATTTTTATTTGTCCTGTAAGGTTACAAGAATTCTGTTTAGTATTATGTGTATTGAGCAATGCTTAACACTGATTTAGTTAGGATAGCTCTCAGTCTGTATGATCTATTTGTTTACTTCATGAGTCATCAACAAGAGCTTGATATAAACGACTTATACCGGTAGATAGCATAATTCTGGCTAACAGCTAAGTATCAGGAATGAGCAGAAGTATAAACCTTCTATACATTCTTTCTGAGTTGCCAAAAATGTTGAGGGAAGTACCCTTGGAACAGAAAAGAGAAAGTGTCATTACATGTATCTTGCATGACAAAACATATCAGAAATAGTATGCTTCATGTAATTGTGTTTTTTTTTTGTCCTCATGCACTTATGAAATTTGCTGATTGTGGGCAAATGACTTAAATGTATGTGCTGTGCTTGTAGATTTGTATTTAATAATAAATAACTCCCTGTTTTTAGAAGGTTCTGTCTCTACACAATCCCACAAGACATTGCTTCAGGCATCTCAACCGGACTTATCCAGACAAATCCACTCAAACTCTGAGTGGGTCTGAGGGATTCACAGCAGCCCTGCAGAAAATAATGATGATGATGATGATGATGATGATGATGATGATGATGATGATGATGATGATGATGATGATGATGATGATGTTGGAAGGGACCTTGGAGATCATCTAGTCCAATCCCCTGCTCAGGCAGGAAACCCTATACCATTTCAGACAAATGGCTGTCCAGTCTCTTCTTAAACATTTCCAGTGTTAGAGCATTCACCGTTTCTGGAGGCAGGTTGTTCCACTGGTTAATTGTTCTAACTGTCAGGAAGCTTGTCCTTAGTTCTAGGTTGCTTCTCTCCTTGATTAGTTTCCATCCGTTGCTTTTTGTCCTGCCTTCAGGCGCTTTGGAGAATAGCTTGACTCCCTCTTCTTTGTGGCAGCCCCTGAGATATTGGAACACTGCTATCATGTCCCCCCTCATCCTTCTCTTCATTAAACTAGACATACCCAATTCCAGCAACCGTTCCTTATATGCTTTAGCCTCCAGTCCCCTAATCATCTTTGTTGCTCTTCTCTGTACTCTTTCTAGAGTCTCAACATCTGAAGTCCATACCTCCCGGGCTGTTGGACAGCTATCAGCAGGTATAAAACATGGAGAAATAGCAATCATTCACTGCCCTTATTGCCACAATGTAATCCATAATATGGGTTTTTACTTTTGCTTGGGCAGTTTCATCTTCCTAGAGTGGCTCTCCAGACATCTCTCCTTTTGTTTCATCTCTCAAAACTCTTCAAATAAAGTTCACATTGGGATCAACACAGGGGGAGAGACCACACAAGGGCAATCAGGTTGAAACCTGTTCCATTTGCCCATTCCAGGTTGCAGCTAAAGCTTCAGCTCAATTGCCCACCAGATTATTGGGGAAAATCCCAGCCTCCCTCTAGAATCCAGCTGGATTCATCAGTTGGAATGGGCTAATCTAACAGGCCTACCAACAACTACATCATGCAGGAAAGCAGGACCAAAAGGTGGGTAGTGTCAGAATCTCCGGGGACAACTAGTGGAGATTTCTTCCTTCTTTATATCTAGTATGGGCACAATCAGGCAACCTAGACCTTCTCTGACACAACAAAGCGGCAATGATAGTATCAGCCCTTCTGCTACACAAGCCTTCTCCAACATGATGTTGTCCTAGTTTTATTGAAAATGTAATTTCAGTATTCCCAAATATTTCTGGCTGGAAATTCTGGGCATTAAAGTCTCAAATCTAAAGGCATGTGATTGAGAAAACGTGTTTAAATTGTGAAAAAGTAGTGACACATTCTGCTAGAGAGAAGTTCCAAGCACAAGTCTAAAAGCTTGGAAGATGAAACCTCTGGTCCCGATGACCAACCCAGATTGGATCCTACATTATCATAGGATACGTATATTTGCCTTCATTTGTGTGAAAAAATGATATAAGTAAAGATTACAATTTTGAAACCTACAGAAAAATAGTATACTCATATATTCTTCTGAGCCATAACATGATTTGTTTGGTTTTGATAAAAGGTTGTGCAACCCCAGGTGTTTTTAAATCATAATTGTTAGATTTAATATATGGCAACCAATCAATTGTAGCTTATTGGTCATAATTAAAATCTACCTTAGTGTGATTCATCAAATACTTCCCTAGTAGCAGTCTCCAAATAGATTGGATAATATTGGCTACCATACTTGATAGAAATTGTACTGTTGAAAGGCAGCCATTTGGGAAAACATTGAACAGTAGAATGCATATAAAACAAATATGCAACTCACATTTTATCTTTTATTCTAACATATATTTAATTTTTCTCCCTAGATTTCTTTATGTAGCTCTGGTAATTTCCATATTATGTGGAAGTGATCATATTTTCTTTGTTTTTCAGGCAATTATTACTCCACACATAATCTTTCCCTTGTTTGCTGATGGCATCTGTGGCATAACACCGAAAGCAGGATCAGTTGTTGCTGGTGTGTACATGATCTTAATGACCAATATGTATCTTATCTTTGAGTTTCGACACCTAAGCCTTGCATTAGCTGAATTGGCAAGTATTAAAATGAAAGGCTTAATCTGGATTATTCCATTTTGCTATTACATAGCAATAGGTTTGGCTTTTATAACCTATCCTATATGTTTCTATTATTTATATTGTATCTATAAGAGAAAAATTGTAGGTCTTTATGTATACTTTGCTTGGATAATCTTTTATGATACAGCCAACATAGTCATTTTAGTCTTGACTAGCCATATTTCAGAGCTATCCACATTTTCGATCAGTCCTTTAGAATGGTTTGGATTGGCCAGTAGGATTCCTGTGGACTGTTTTTGGCTTTGTTTTGTTATAACATATGTTATGTTGCTTGTTGAAGGAAGACGTGTAGGGAGGATGTCAATGAGGCAAAGGCGGACATCGAGATATATTACTGAACCTCCTAAGTTTAGATTGGGTGCAGCTGCCAAGAGAATTCAGTTGTAGCTCTCAAAATACTGTTCTATGCAGTTATAAACACCTGGCACATCAAAGAATGGACTATTAATATATTTCTGTCTTATCTATCCAATATCTTTCCTTTTCAGAACAACGAAATTAGGGTGATTGTCAGAAACATGGCAGGCCATAATATATACTAAGTTCAGAACCAACATATGTATGTACTAAGTAATGTTTCACATTGTTTTACTTCATTATCTTATTGGGTTAATCTAAATGTCTTTAATAAAAATAAATGTCATAGTTACTATACTTGGGTCTCTGGGCTTGTTTGCATCATTGAGGGAAAGGAATAATAATAATAATAATAATAATAATAATAATAATAATAATAATAATAATAATAATAATAATAATAATAATAATAATAATAATAATAATCATCATCATCATCATCAACCCCCAGTGAGGCACTACCTTGACGTGGTTGTGGGGCTTATGTACTCTGAGGAAGATGAGAGCTATGCCAGAGGTTCAACCATACTGGACAGGTCTCATCAGAGGAGTCAGACAAAGAGTGTCTCTCCCATAAAAAATATGGTGAGACGTAAATTTCAGAAAGCCATACCAGCTCAGATGTCGCCCGGGTTAACAAGGTCCGTGCTAGATGTTGGAGTTCCTGGATATCTGGTGAAAATGAGTTACAGGACTCAGGACTGTTGGCTGAGCAACTAGGGTCAGCAGCTGCAGAACTACTGGAAGAAAAGGTATTTACCCGTCACAAATACACAGTGATTGAAAACAAAGAAATAATGATCTGTTATTACAGATCAAGTCCAACAAGAAGAGGATATCTAAAACAAATGCACCAGTTCTGGAACGAACAACATCCAGAATCAGAAATAACAGAACAGAGACTAGCAGATCAACGCCGATTTATAATACGAAATAAAGTATTCACAGAAACAGAATTGGACGAACTGCAAAGGTTTACCCAGGGCAAAGAAATCAAAGCCTTGCCAGAAGTAATTCAGAATGTAGAGGCAAACCAGGGGGAGTTGGCAGTGAAGGAATCCAGCAGAGATATACAACTGTTCTCATTTGGAAACCAGGCACCTCTTCCTCAGGAAGAACAAAGCCCTCTAACAAAAGAAATAAAAGAATTGAAACAAAGAATAACTGAGCATCTAGAACAGCACAAAAACAACAATAAGGCTGCCTGCATTGAAGCTTGTTCCAAAGAAATAGCTAGCACAAGCATTAAAAGATGCAAATACTGCAATATCAAGTATAAGCACCAATTCACTGCAAGAAACAAACCAACTAATGTACAGCACAGCTGCAGTTATAACTGAATACCTGGGGTGCAAAATCAACAAAGAAGAAAAACAAACAAACAGTGCACCACAAAAATGGAAGGTTAGAGTAGAAAATAAGATCAGCAAGTTAAGATCACATGCAAGCAAGCTAGAACAGATGAAAGAAAAGAAGCTGAAGAACAAGAAGACCAAAGAATATCTAATCAAGAAATATCACTTAGAAACAAGGAAGATCAAGGAAGCACTGGAAATAATAAAGCAGCAAATAACAGCTATAGCCAGGAAAATCAGTAGATACGAAGCTCGAATTGCAAATTATAGGCAGAACCTCCAATTTCAATCCAATCAGAAATGTTTCTACCAATCCATCATTTGAGAAACTGCAATGAATCAGTCAGTACCTGCCAGACTATCTCACCTTCTTTACATAGATGATCTGAAGCTGTATGGCAAAACATCATCTGAAATAGAATCGCTGCTCAACACTGTCCGTATTTATAGTCAAGATATTGCAATGGAGTTTGGCTTGGACAAATGTGCCACACTTGCTCTAAACGAGGAAAAATAGTGAAAACTGAAGGAATCAAGATGCCCCATGAAAATAACATTAAGAGTCTGGATGAAGAAGATTACTACAAATACTTGGGTATCCTTCAAGCTGACAACATCAAGCACACTGAAGTCAAGAAAAAGATTAGAGGTGAATACATCAAGAGAGTGAAGAAGATCTTAAAGTACAAAGTCAATGGAGGAAATATCGTGAAGGCAATCAACACCTGGACAATTCCAGTCATTAGATACACAGTTGGAATAGTGGACTGGACTCAAGCAGAACTAAAAGCAATGGATAGGAAGACCAGAAAAATAATGACAATGAATCATGCCCTTCATCCACGCAGTGACATTGACAGACTCTATCTACCAAGGCAAATAGGTGGACGTGGAATGCTGCAAGTACATCAGATGGTTGAAGAAGAAAAAATGGCTTTGGAAGAGTATCTGAAGGACAATGATGAAGATGCACTAAAATTAGTATATCAGGAAGGCTTACTGACTACTGGAGAGACCAAACTGGCCTACAAGAAAGACCAAATGAAAAGAATAGAGGCATGGGAAAACAAAGCACTACATGGCCAGTACATTAAAAAAAAATAGCTGGGAAAGCAGATAATAACAAGACCTGGCAATGGTTAAAAGCAGGAAAATTGAAGAAAGAGACCGAGGGATTAATTCTGGCTGCACAAGACCAGGCCTTAAGGACAAATGGATACAAAGCCAAAATTGAGAAGACAGCAACAGACAGTAAGTGCCGCCTATGCAAAGAAGCTGAAGAAACAATGGACCACCTGGTAAGCTGCTGTAAGAAGATCGCACAGACTGACTACAAGCAGCGGCATGACAAAGTAGCAACAATGGTGCATTGGAAGATCTACAAGAAATATCATTTGCCTGTAAGCAAGAACTAGTGGGATCATAAAATAGAGAAAGTCATAGAAAATGATAAAGTTAAACTGCTCTGGGACTTCAGAATTCAAACAGACAAGCACCTGAATCATAACACCCCAGACGTAACAATTGTCAATAAGAAAGACAAAAAAGTCTGGATAGTGGACGTGGCAGTGCCTGGAGAGAGCAGAATAGACGAGAAAGAACTGGAGAAGATAACAAAATACAAAGACCTACAAATAGAAATAGAAAGACTGTGGCAAAAGGAAGCAAGGGTAATACCAATAGTAATAGGCGCCTTGGGTGCAATCCCAAAACAACTTGAGCACCACTTAAACACCATTGGCATTGACAAATTCGCCATTAGTCAATTGCAAAAGATGGCCTTACTAGGAACTGCTTCCATCCTGCGACAATATCTGTAATACCATCAAACATCCACATCTACCTATCCCAGGTCCTTGGTGAGGACTCGATAGGTAGACAAAATGCCAAATCCAGTCTGAACATCTGGCTGACTGTGCGATGATCCATAATAATATAATAATAAAAGTTGGAAGGGACCTTGGAGGTCATCTAATCCAACCCCTTGCTCAGGCAGGAAATCCTATACCATTTCAGACAAATGGCTGTCTAGTCTCTTCTTAAAAACTTCCAATGTTGGAGCATTCACAACTTCTGGAGACAGGTTATTCCACTAATTGTTCTGTCAGGAAATTTCTCCTTAGTTCTAGGTTGCTTCTCTCTTTGATTAGTTTCCATCATTGCTTCTTGTCCTGCCTTCAGGTGCTTTGGAGAATACCTTGACTCTCTCTTCTTTGTGGCAACCCCTGAGATATCGGAACACTACTATCATGTCACCCCTAGTCCTTCTCTTCATTAAACTAGACATACCCAATTCCAGCAACTGTTCCCTATATGTTTTAGCCTCCAGTCCCCTAATCATCTTTGTTGCTATTCTCTGTACTCTTTCTAGAGTCTCAACATCTTTTTTACATCCAAAACTGGATGCAGTATTCCAAGTGTGGCCTTACCAAGGCATTGTAAAGTGGTATTAACACTTCACGTGATCTTGATTTTATCTCTCTGTTAATGCAGCCTAGCACTGTATTGGCTTTTTGGGCAGCTGCAGCACACTGCTAGCTCATATTTAAGTGATTGTCCACTAGGTCTTTGAGATTCCTTTCATAGTTACTTCTGTTGAGCCAGGTACCACCTATACTATATCTGGGCATTTTTTTTCTTGCCTAAATGTAAACCTTACTTTTTTCACTACTGAATTTCATTTTGTTAGATAGCACCCAATGTTCAAGTCTGTCAAGATCCTTCTGTATCTTAAGTCTATCTTCTGGACTGTTGGCTATTCCTGCCAGCTTGGTGTTGTCTGCAAATTTGATGAGTTCCCCATCTATCCTCTCATCCAAATTATTGATGAAGATGTTCAAGAGCATTGGGCCCAGAATAGAGCCCTGGGGTACCCTACTACACACTTCTGTCCATGTAGATGCAGTTCCATTGAGGACCATATGCTGAGTATGGCCGGTCAGCCAGCGACGAATCCATCTGGTGGTGATATTGTCTAACCCACATTTTTCTATCTTATCAAGTAGTAGGTTGTGGTCTACTTTATCAAATGCCTTACTGAAGTCCAAGTAAATTATATTCACAGCATTCCTCTGGTCCACTAATTTTGTCACCTGGTCAAAGAATGCAATAAGATTTGTCTGGCATGATCTGTTTTTGACTAACCCATGTTGGCTTTTGGTAATAACTTTGTTTGCCTCTAGGTGTTCGCTGATTCGTTGCTTGATTATCTTTTCCAGAAACTTCCCAGGTATTGAGATCAGGCTGATAGGTCTGTAGTTTCCTGGATCCATTTTTTTCCTTTTTTGAAGATGGGAACTACATCAGCTCTTTTCCATTCTTCTGGTAGTTCCCCAGTGCTCCAGGATCTTTGAAAGATATAGTTCAATGGTTCTGAGATCACATCTGCCAGTTCCTTGAGAACCTTGGGGTGTAATCCATCTGGTCCTGGTGATTTGAACTCGTCTAGGGTGGACAGGTGCTCACTTACCATTTTCTTGCCTATCTTAACTTGTGTTTCTAATCTGTTTTTTACGGTACTGTTTTTGATAGGTTGGACTGTTTTTGCCCTTTGTGTAAAGATGGATGCAAAAACCGAGTTAAATAGTTCTGTTTTCTCCCTGCTGCTTGTCACCTTCTTGCCATTTTCTCCATTAATGGAGAAATCATTTCCTTAACTTTTTTTTGTTTCTTACA